CTGCACCACACCGCCCAGCAGGAGCTCCAGTTCCTGTCTTCACAGGCTGAGGCAAATATCAGGAACTGTGCAGAGCAGCTCTGGACTAGCGATGCTTATCCTGGTGCACAGCAGACTTTTAAAGATGGTAAGGCAAAGGATGCCAGTGAATTACTGAATAACAAATTGTCCTGGGCATGGCATTGTAAACGGGGGTTGCAACTGGATGTGATGGATGCCCGACAGGTAGTTAATGGAGCGAGTATGTAAGACACAGTGAGAAAACTCACAATGCTTTGCAACAGAAATTGCTGCAAAAAATTTGACGCCACACAGACTTAGCCAAAAAACCATTAGATACAGCCTTATGTTTTAGTTGCCCCATTTTGTGTCATCTTATTCACAAGTTATCATCACGGTCAATAGGATGTAAGTAGAACTTAGTCTTTGGAAGCTCGTGCTTGATAAACATTATTCTTTTTTAAAAAAAATTATATGCTAAATCTCATTGCTTCCGGAGTAAAGATGTAGCTGCAGACTTACTACGCACCCAATGTATTCTGTTAACATTGATAAAATTAACTGTTATGACTCCCAACGCTCCTGCAAACTGCTGGTAGTAACAAATGGGTCAACCTGAGCTAGCATAAAACTATGAGATTATAGGAGCAGAAGTGGGCCATTCAGCCCAATGAGTCTGCTCTGCTGTTCAACGAGATCACAGATGATCTGATAATCCTCAACTCTACTTTCCTATCTTTTCCCCATAACCCTTAATTTCCTTACTGATTGGAAATCTGTCTGACTCAGCTTTGAACAACTCAGCCTCAACAAACCTCTGTGGTAAGGAATTCCATAGATTCACTACCCTCAGAGAAGAAATTCCTCCTCATCTCTGCCTTAAATGTGCAACTCCTTATTCTGAAATTTTGCCCTTGGCTTTTCCAAAAGGGGAAACAACCTTTCCACATCTAGCCTGTCAAGTCCCCTAAAGATCATGTATGTTTTGTGACAATGATGTAGCTTTCAAGAAGTTATTTTTTCCAGGTTTCTTTTTGAACAGAGATTGTAAGGCAGAGATGACAAGCTATCTCTAAGAAAGTGAAGCCTTAGGATTCTTTTCTTAAAGTTGGAACAATGGAAACAGCCTGGGTGTGGTCAGCACTCACACACCAGGCTTTCTAATTTTTTTCAGGTTTTAGATCTAGCTTTAAGCAGAAGCATTGGGGGCCCAATAGAGTTTGAAGCTTCAGTGAATGTCTCTTGGCTGCTAGTCTCTTTGAATTTTCCCCTGAGGTTTTTTTTTCCCTCCTGGATTGGAGTACTGCATGTGAGAATCGATGTCTGAATTTTCATTTTGCCAAGGTCTGTGATTATGGGATGTTGCGACATTGGAACAGTTAATTAGGAATAGTTACTGTATCTATTATTCTGTTAAGTTTTCCCAAGAAGTCAAGTGATTCTAAATTCATCTTTCTTTGGTTGTATTTTTATCTATAGCATATAAATAAATTGTGTTCTTCTTAATGTCAAATACTTTGACCAGTCGCATGGCATCTGGAACACAGCACCTGACGTTTACCTTTAAAAATAAGAAAAAGTTAGGATCTCGGCAAAATATTTTGAGGGGTTCTCTTCTGGTCCTTAACAGTTTCAATAAGGTCATCTCTCATTCTCCTACATTCCAATGAGTACAGAATGGCCTATTCAACCTCTCGTCATAAAACATAAAGTTCCTCTCTGATCTCTGGAGCTGAAATAAGTTCCTGTTCCCCAGCGATCATGAGACAGAGACTGGTATCTCAGTTACCTTCTGCAAGCAGTGACATCAGCATCAAGCATAAGCACATTTGGACATTTGAAGAAAATTTGTGTCAGCTAGACAGATGAGGAGCAGCAAATCCAAATGTCACACTGTATGTAGTGAAACCTACAGATAGCACAGCCTCCCGGTATTAAAATAAAACAAAGAACTACGGATGGTGGAAATCTGAAACAAAAACAGAAATTGCTGGAGAAAGTCAGCAGACTTGGCAGCATCGGTGAAGAGAGAAACAGAGTTAACATTTTAAGTCCAGTGACGCTTCTTCAGAACTGATAGTAGGTAGGAAAAATTCTTTTATATGTAAATGTGATCATAGCCACCATTTCCACCACTTCCAGTGGGATG